TTATCCCCCAGTAGTGGACAGCGCACTCTGTCTACGAGCGCAAAGACGTTTCCGAGACGCTAATATTAAACGCCGAATTAGGGCTAATCTTCACAAGGAGGATTTAGTACCAGCCATCGAAGATGCTGCGCGGATCAGAGATTACGATACACTGTGGACACCCCATAGAGCCACCCAACAAAACACAGGAAAGGGAAGAGCTTGCACTAAAGTGTAATGCAAATTTTAAAGGTTGATCAGTGAAACTCAGCAGTAAAAGCCGTTCAAACTAATTCGTTCTTTTGCGCTTTAGTTTTTTCTCGCGCTTTTAAGAGAAACAGTTTCAGTCAATATTAGAATTACAAATACGTTGTTAACTTTCGCATATTTCTAAAATCTAGATTTTTCTAAAAGTAGAGCGAAAATATCAAGACTAGACACACCTTAATTGACATGCGGGATGGTTAACTTAGAGTTAACAGATTCTCAAATGACGGTTGTGTTATTTAGCGCTGTATTAATTGTTGTCTCCTTTTGCACGCCTTGAATTCAGACCAATCTTGTAAACAATTTTCTTTTGGTGAAAAGAATGGGAAATAAATATATACGTCTTAAAGTGTAAGGTCATTACCTTTAATCAAAAAAAGGCTTCTATGACGCAAACTTTGTGCCAAGTTTAACCAGCCGTAGTAAAGGTACATAACTAAAACAAGACTTGGAATAGCAATCACCAGAGTCTTAACGTCAAGAACGCAGTGTTTTATTTTAATTCCACCCGAGTTATTACACAATATTAACCGTGAAATGCACACTAATGCGGTGTGTACAAGTGAGTTATACGACCAAGGAGGGGACATTATATAAGAGACTAATCTACCCAACAAGTCGAATAATAACCCAAAATTAATTAGTGTATACCTTTCTAATTAGTGAAAATAAACATATTGTTTTAATTAGAAACCAGCTGAGCGTCGTCGAAAGCCACTAAATCAATTTTCAGAACGACTTGAAGCACGTGGGTTAAGCGGGGGTGCACCAAAGGTACCACTCGTGTAGCAGTCGCATGCAGAGCTAGCGGTGGGGAAACGGGGATAATTAGATTATTATCCGTCTTTCCCAACCGCTAGCTTTTCGCTTGCCGCACAAGCGGTAACTATACAGTGTACCTGGGCGTTTCCCACGTGCTTCAAGTCGTTCTAAAATTGGCTGATTTTGTGGTTTTCCATGATGCTAAGCAACTTTCTAATTGAAACCATGTCTTTAGTTTCGATAATTAAAGGTTAATTAGGAAATTTTAATCAAATATTCGACTTGTCGGTAAGATCATTCGCCTATATAATATCGCCCTGTTCGTATTACTTACGTGCACAAACCGCAAAAATCTACTTTTGCGGATTTGTTTTTGTAATAAATTTGTTTGAATTAAAATTGAACACCCGGTATATAAACCGTTCTCACTAAGGCAGAGTGTGAACCCAGGTTTTGTGTTATATCAAGCATCAAATAACACGAAACTCACAGCTTTTAAAAGACGGGTTCGCCCACAGACTGCGAAAAAAGTAGTTCAGAGTCCTCAGCAGAATCCTCAGAACCCTCAGCAGCAGCACACGAATAGAAACTTTCTGGTTCTTTTTCTTTCCTTTTTTAATCTGTACCATAAGTTTCTCCCCTTCAGCTCATCTTATTTGGGGCATATATCTAATAATCTGGACGATGAAATATTGCATGAAAATGTAACTATTATACTAAATTTTAGCCACGGTTTGTTTACAGCTTTATTGTAATTACCAATAGCGCCTCTCACAATTGCAAACTATTTATATGTGTTATTTTAATGGCTCCTTATGTCTTGATGCTGTGCATCGTGTACCAATTTTGTTTTTGCTTTTTTTTCTCTAAACGTTGTTAGCACGTTAAGTAAATCCTGAATCGACACGGTTGAATAACAATGCTCATGGTAAAGACTGCTTCCTGTTTTCAGTGAATTCGTTTATGTTGGTATTGATACCGCTTCCCAAGTTCTTGACACCATTCTTGGTTATTCAGGAGGTTTCAAACGTGTAACTACGAAAATCTAGCTATTACACTCAATTCAGCAAAGCTTGCTTTTTTTCTTTGACGACTGAATTTCAGGCCCCCCAATGTCAGTAAAACGAACACCTCTTACAAGTGCATACTTGCTTATACATGTAGTTTTGATGGGCCCTTATATATTGTATGTTCTGCCACTTCATTTAACTTTTGTGATTTGCTGTGGATCGTGTACAATTTCTTTAAAGTTGTTGGCACGCAAAGTAATTCCCAAATGAGCACGGTTAAATAACAATGCTCAAGCAAAACACGGCTTACTGCTTTCGGTTTATGTATTTATAATTGTATCGATGCCGTTTCCCAAGTTCATGACATCATTATTGGTGTTTCAGAAGCTTTCCCCTGTGTCACATAAAAAGCAGCTATTAGCAAAATTGTAAACCTTCTTCCTTTTTCCTTGGTCCGTCCTAGCGTAAATCAAAACCTTTATCGTCTTATTTATTTTTTAACCGATACATGCATGCTAGGAACCACAAACCAAGAATCGCTCCTTTAACTACCAAAAAACTAAAAACATCAATCTTTCTCTGTCTTCAAACATTCGCCTATTTTCGGTAAGCGCGTGATTTACTTTTACAGCTAATACGGAGGATGATCATACAAATTTATTTTGGCAAAATATTGATTGTTGTTTTGGAACACCAGGTTTATAAATAGATTTAAATTAAAACCGCTAGTTTTCTTAATGCACGGGTCGCCACTTTCAGAGCTTTAGTTCTATTTAAATTTTGACAATGATTCTTGCACCAACTAGAAACATCTTCGCGTAAACTTCTCTCACAACCTCTCTTGGAAATATTATATTAACAGCATTATTTCTGACTCATCGTACTCTCTGTTTCTTGCGCCGTAACCTCTGTCTCACTTCTTTGGCTATCAAAGACGCTGCATACGTTACCCTATGCCATCTAACTTTAGAAAATGTACTCCCAGTTTTGGAGCCTCACTTTAAATATCTTGCATTCGATCTAGATGTATAAAAAGCATACGCAGTTCTCTTACTGTCATCAAAACATTTGAGGTTACTTATCTAAGTTTAGAAACTTCATGAGCATATGGGACTCTCATCTGGAATATCTTGCATCCGATCTAGAAATATAACAAGATTATGCAGTTCGCTTGATGATATCTTAACTTTATAAACTACTTATTCTTTCTGAACTTGAACACAATGCATTCTTGCAGTCAGAATTCATTGCTGTCATTTACTGCTATGATCACGCAGCTGTACGACTAAACTTTGTCGCTCTCGCAAGTTTTACTTCGACAGTTAGCTACAAGAAATATTAAACGGACCACATATTTTATTGCAGTGATCACCATATAAAACTTGTTTGTTTGTTTTCACTCAAATATGATTTCTTTTTGATTTCATTCGTTTTGTCGACGTTGTACCCTCAACCTACCTGACTGAAGTTTTCATTTTCATTCTAGAGACGTTCCGTAGCATGTTAACTTCGTTATTTTATTCAGCCACTTCCTTGTGTATCACATCAAAGCATGGTTTCTGAGGTAGTTGAATAAAAATGTATTTGTTGTAACTGATGTTCAATGAACAGTGATATGGAGCTTAACAATCGTGCCACCGGAGAAGCATATTATGTTAGTATTGCACGTAAACTCAAATTTTGTAATAGGAGCAACATTTCAATGTCTGCATCTGCGTTAAGGGCTAAACTTATCACTGCCCTTTGTGACCGTTTCTTGAAATGTTTCAGTGTCTTTTTCTGGACCGACGTGTTTTGATGATAGACACAAAGGTATGTGTAGATTTAGCGATGTAGTCGTTCAAAAAAAGCGTTTCATTTTAGAAGTTTTCAGTCCTGACTTCAAAGTTTTAACTTTAAAATTTGAAGGTGAGACTGAATTTTGAGGATCGAAGTTCAAAGTTTACAGTTTAACGTTTGAGATGTGGTGTACGAGTGAAAATATTTCATTTTTTATTGTGTAACTTCAAGCTCGAAGGTATGTGAGGCTTTGAGTTAGATACCCCTTAATCACGGGCATTTCAAATGCTTCCGAACCTCCTCCGTAAAATCGGCAAACCAGAGCATGACGAAAAGCATGCGAAAAACAGAGATAAGAAGGTGATTCGATAATTCGACGAGTTTTTTTACATGTTAATGCCAATAAAAAAAAAAGGGCTATATGATTTCAATTTTGGACTTCGGAGGACGAAGTTTTGTAATAAAAGTATATTTAAATTCTCGCGGGCCATATACCCGATGTTAAGGAAGGAGCAAGATTATTTTGTACTACCTCTACCTGTCTATATCTACCAGGTGAATGGATACGTATTTAGTAGCATAAAGAGAACATTGCCATACGAACGCCACCACAATTTTGTTCTCGAATTTTTAGACGTGATGTATGATCACTCAATACGATGACGCAGCTTCGACAGCATTCCCAACCACGCATTATCATGTTGACAGACGTACAGTTCATCAAAATGTAATTTGGGGAGATGCACTTATTAGCAATCCCGTTCCAGAATTAACCAACACCTTACCTCTCCCTTTTTTATCTATCTCTTTCTATCTCTCTCGCCTACAATAGATAACAGCTAGAAAAAGAAAAAGTAAAAAAAATCTCTCGATGCCGACCCTTCACGATCCTGAAGACCCGGCCTGGTCTGTGTACCGAATCCGGGGCTGCTTTTATTTACATAGGAAGAGGCGAGAGCGATGGCAGTGAGCGAGAATAAAGCCGAAAAAAGTATAATCGAACAAAAAAAGGTGGCTGGGAAAGGGAATAAGGGGGGTTCCTTTCCACGTTTCCACGCGAACCTTCTCTCTTCAACGTCACAGCTTTTTCCTTCTTTTTTTATTCTTTCCCCTCACCCGTTTGTACCCTCCCCCTTTCCCCGAGAACAAGCCGTGTCGCCTCCTCTCCCGCGTGGATCGCGGGGTTGACCGGCACCGCTTCCCAGTCGCGGATCGGGCTCAGCCATGGGCACGTCGCTGAAGCCCATCGGGACGCTATGAACGGCGCGTGTCAGCCGCCTTGGATACGGATCCATCGAGAGCGCCACTGCCGACCCGGCACGACGACGTGGTGGTGTTTCGAACCTCGCGCCGCCGGATCTTCTTCGTCTTCTTTGACGGCGACACCGACTTCGACTCGGTGCACGACTTTGGGACCGACTTGATCCGACATCGGCGAAAAAAAAAAAAAAAAAAAGCAGATAGAACTTGTGTTCCCGAGGCGACTAGGATGCATTACTCCTTTTGGTGTGGTTCCCGGCAGGAGCAGTGCGAAGTTTGGTAGAGACGACTTCATTGTGTGTGTGTGTGTGTGGCGTGGAGCTCAAAAAGTGTGTTCGTTGGTCCGTTTTGCGCTCTACTGTCAGTTTTTTTTTTCTTTTAGTTACCAAAGTTTTGTTTTACTGTGCGCGTTCTGACTGGTTCCCTTTGCAACTCCAACGGATTGACAGTTTCTGTCGCTGAGTGCCACCGTTGTGATCGACGCTAAGATTTCTTTCTTGTCTGTTTGTTTCCGCCAGAGGGTGGTGGGCAACGTACACCAAGCTTGCCCCGGATTTTTAGTTGAAATTGGTACGCGTGAAGTTAATTTGTGTGGATGTTTCTACCTGCAGTCGTCTACGAAGACCAGGGCAGAGCCGATTCCGTCCTTTCTGATTCGATAATCTCTGAGGAACCACGAGGACACTACAACAAGACCTCCAAGCTTTGTATCAACCAGCAGGACGGGATTGAATCCAGAAGTGACACTGTTGAACAAGATGACGAGTGAAGTTCTCGGAAGTTCACAACGGAAGCAACTGGCAAGAAAGTAGAAGAGGATCAACCGCAGCGAGTGGCATTTGCATCGACGTCTGCCGAACCTTCTGGTACTCTGGACAGCAGACTTCGTCGTTGGAGTGCATCTGGTGTTCGGTCTTCCTCGTTAGTGTGGCAGGGTCTGTGTCCAGGTTTGGAAGGGGAAGTGACGTGGACACTGTGCAACTCGCCCGGCACCGATGAAGAGAAAGAAAGAAGGTTAGTGTCGAAAGCAGACAGACTTCTTGGACACGCCGCTAGAGGGGTGGACCGCTCTCGTCTCTTGTGGACACCTCTTGGAGCGGACTCCCAGGATGCAGTAGGCCGGTAAGTTGGGGCACTATACCAGAGAGCGGTGGTTTTATCCTGTGTACCTTCGGTAATTGCGCTGTGAATGTCTGTTTGTAGGTTTTGCTACTTGCAAGAAGAGTTCCAGGCGAAGTCCTAAATACTAAAACAAGATAGCATTCTTTAGGGGCCACTTGTTAAACTACCACGAGACTTTCATATACTGCTCCTTGATGTTTCTTCAACAAAACGCAGTACATTTTCAGTCCTAGTATACAGAGCGAAAAAGCAAATCGACGACCGAAGTTTAAATATTTTTTTTTCTGTTTCAAACATAATGTTTTAGGGTTCTCTTGCAGTTAGCTTGTAATTCCTTCAAATTTATAAAACAATATGTATGCATGCTAAGGGCTTTTTTCGTGTGTGCGATCATCCACAACTGCTGGTTCCACTTCTACAATCATCTGTCGTCCAAACCACTTAGAATTCAGAAAACTAACTCACACCGACTTGCAAGCATCCTACCTTTCTTTTCGCAAGTGACACTTTTTGAAATATATTATGACAATAGTAATAGTGATTTTATTGTAAATTAAATAAAAATAGCCAGGCTTCATTTTGAAATTTTAACAGCAGCGCTGAAAGTCCTCTCTACAAAACACGTAAACAATGTATGTCAGTAAGCATATTGAAAGCGGATGTTTCCACATTTATTTCTACAAAAACGATAGGCGCTGAGTCACACTGGGAGAAGTGGAAGCAGTATATCCAGCAACTTCTCCCAAGAGTAGCTATATTTGCAAGGGAATATCTCCAACGCTTTGCCAGTAATGCCAGGCTTTTTGGAGATAGTCCTAGCATCTCGCTGCAGAAGACTAACGGCATCGCGATGACGCAGTCTCTAGCTACGACGAGTGAAGTGCACAGGAGCAGAATAAAAACTCCCGTTTAATAGTCGGCCATGGCTTCTAATATTATTCGGGGAGGAGTGGTCGCCAGGGACGCCAACAAAGCAAGCAAAAGTTCCGGGACACCGTTGGCAGCGGCGTGGTGGGGGTGGGTAAACACGGGGGAGAGGAGGAGGACCTATGCCGGTTTCTGATTGGTCGATGCTGTTTAGGGACGGTATGCAAAACGCTCCCCCGTCATTATTGCGCGTGCTGCGTTTCGTATTTTATTTTTTTCATTTAGCGTCTGATGTTTGATTGCCAGGACACGCGTCTGACGGTGACACTTTTTTCTTTCAATGGGCAACTTCGAACATACACCGGAAAGTCCAAACCTTACTGCACATAAGCAGCACTTTATATGAATACAATTGTCTGACGACAGCTTACGGCATAGCTTATGAAACACTTCTAATAACTCTATAGTGCTGCTCGGAAGTATGGCTTAAATGGCGTGCCATATAGGCCGTATTTCCCGCAGTGCTATTAAAGACCTATGTAAGAAAGCGGATAGATCAGCATAATGGCTTTCTTTGGCGAACGCCCGGCGTCAATAATAGTTCTTGTAGCATCGTGTAGTGTCCTTACAAAACGCGGCACATTTCCATAGAATGGATGGAATGATTTCTGTTTTGCATTCTTACCTTCACGTTGGTACGAATTCCGGAATTAAAAAGTCATTTTTCTTTTTAGTATTTCGCCCGGTGAGTATTGTAGTAGGCAATATACGACACTACACATAACGAGCTTTACCAGCCGTCGGGGCTAAAACATGGTGAGTGCATGTCCATGTTCATTAACGGCTAGGGATTCGAGTTTTTGTATAGATCCGTATAACAATCTCCAGGCCAAATTTTGTCTAATTTTGATGAATCTGCAGAACCCTAATATACAGTATTAGAAGACGAATTCTATACTTAATGTAGCTGTATCGGTCTTTACTACTTTATCTACACATGGGTTATCGTGAACGCTAAATAATACACTTGCTTTAATGCAGTAACCTTGTAGCTGCCCAAAAGGGACGTCATGATTTTGTTGTGACGCTGCGTTGCTCTAAATACTGCTAGAAATTTAAATTAGGCGTTTGTGAGTTAAATTTGTTTTTTGTTACCCGGATTTCAATCAACTGCAGTTTCACGAGGAGTAAACTTGGGCAAACTAGTTTTCATCACAGTACGTGCTCTTCGAATTTCAAGCATAAGCTTAAGCAAAAAAATCAGGAATCCTGATATATGTATATGGCTAGCCTTCATCCTATCTTTTTTTTTTTTCAGCATAAAAATTTCTAGGTTATTGTAAATAGTAGGATTAAATTCAATAAATGTTGGGCGAGGCAATTTGTGATCTGTATTTATTTTGGCGACTCATCTCTTTTTCAAGTGGATGTGAGAAACTCAGACGCTCACTATCTCTAATTACGCCAATATTCTACACATCTCCTTTTGGTTTTTGCATCGCATTATTTGTGTTGTTAACCCCGTGTTACCAGTAGTTTCGCGCTGACGAAATTGCCACTCTGAACCAAGCAGGCAGTTGGCCACATTTCAAAGCAAACCGACTTCTATCCGGCTGTCTTGCCAAATTACGAAGTTAGTCCAAGCTTGTCTGAAGAACTTGGAAAGAAACTCCCTGGAAGCCTCCAACTGACTTTCGGAGTCTCGCAGGGCTTCCAAGTTCCAGCTGTTGAAACGTAAAACAAAGCTGACTGTGCCCGAACATATTCTCAATATTTCCAAGACTTGGCACCGTTTACTAACAGTTCTTAGTGTTGTTTCTTAAAATATTAGGGTATGTCCAATGTACTCTTGATGTTGATAAACCACTTGAAAAAGAGCTGCCATGTGGGAAATCTTGTTTTGTTCACTTTTAAAGTAAAAATAGGGGAGGGCCTAGTCACATTGGACAGAAAAACGGCAAACTGCCGACTACACGCCGGAGGCACTTTATAACATTATTCGTTTGGAGCTGGGGCCTAACCAAACTGTCACTTTAAAACGTTCTGTGGACGTGCAGGCAATTGTTCGATTTGCCGAAAAATTGTTAATTGTATGTCCCATAAATCGTGTTTTTTTTTTTTTCTTTTTTTTTTCGTGTAGTATGTTTAGGCCGCGAAGTTTGCAAATCGTTCGTGTTGTGCTTTACAGAGGAATACCAGAACACGAGCAATTGAACAAGGAAGTACCACAAACTGTTTCGTACCGCTTCGGTGTTCACTTTACTGTTGGTTGATGAACCAACTAGGCCAGTTTACCATATTATGGATCATGTTGTTTTTATTGCGGAAGTTCGTGTACTCGATGATTCACAAGTTCGCACAGTCCTCCAGCGGAGCAGTGACAGTACCCGTTCTACAGTTGTAAAGGTTTCGCATTAGGAGTTTTATCAGTTCGAACGGAACGGACGCCTCTACAAATAAAATAATAGTGTTCCAAGACTGTAGCGCATTGTTCGGTTTCACGCTGGTTTAATCGTCTTTTTAGCTCAAACTGCGCTATCTTTATATAAAATGCGCGTAAGCAACACACATTATTTGATAATTGACTTAATGAAAAGGTACACGTGAGGTGGACAAGAACGACGAAAATAATCCCTGGAGACGGGGGACAAAGGACAAACACAAATCTCCAAACACAGCTAGCTGACTGGTGCGCGACAGAAAAAATCTGCCTGGTCCTGGTATCGAACCAGGGACCTCTCCATTTCCAGTGCAGCGCTCTACCAACTGAGCTAACCAGGAGTTAAAGGTCACTAGAGCGAATAGGTTTTATTAGCTGCCACCAGTTTAACACCAACAAGGGTGAACAGCCTGCATTTTAAAGTCGTGATGGTAATGCATCTTGTCCAGCTCGCTTGCATCTTCGCATTAATTGCATTATCATCATAACCTTAAAATGCAGGCCGTTCACCCCTGTTGTTGTTGTTAAACTGGTGGCAGCTGATAAAAACCGTTTGCTCTACTGACGTCCAACTCCTGGTTAGCTCATTTGGTAGAGCGCTCTGCTGGATATGGGGGAGGTCCCTGGTTCGATACCAGGACCAAACGTTTTGTTTCGGTCGCGCACCAGTTACCTCGTTCTGTTTGGAGATGTGTTCTTTGTCCCCCTTGTTTCCCTTCTTCAGGGATTGTTTTCGACAAATTATATCTTTCATTTCGCAAACACTGCTTCTCATAAAAATAACATTCAGATGTTTTTTTTTTTTTCTTTTTTTTTTTTTTGCAAGTAGGCGGAATTGTTACGCCGTCCAACTAGGCGATTCAAATACAGTCGGTTTTGGCTTACGGAACTGAAGGCGATATTTTGTACACACTTCGCGATTCGTTCTCCGGCGTTGTTCGCGATTCGTTCTCCGGCGTTGTCCGATGGCCGATTAGGTATTATGATGTGCACGGAACTGCCACGCCTTCCGCTTCTCATTCTCTTGGTGACTCTATACATTAACACGATGTTTACAAACAAGCCCTCGCTTGCAGAAACCAGATCCGGGAGAAGTGAAGCGTCCGCGCATGCGCAAGTCCGACAGCAGCGCCATCGCACTGATATGACGTCCAATAGTTGAGTTCGTCTAGAGTCGCAGACAGCTCAAGGAAACCCGGGGATTGACTACTTTTTCGCACCTCATTATCCCTCCGCAGCCAATGAGACTGGCTCGTTGACCGATAAGAACGCCAGTGAACAGATCGCGAAGCAAAGAGTGAAAGTAAATGAGTCACGCTCTGCATTTCGTGAGCTACCTGTCAGTGGCCATACCGTACGTCATGCAAGTTCGTCTGCTGCATGCGCACCTCGTGCGTTTGTTTAGCCGCCAAATGCGCGCACCTGCTTTTGTTCTTGCGATGTCAACCCATGAGGTCACGAGCTTGGCTCCCTCGTGATCGCGCAATCCCTGCGTGTTCGCTGTGTTTCCCCTTTATTAGGAAGTTTTCGTAGATTGTGTTCGCCGTCCCGCAATGCTCTCGCAACCCGCTACGGTACCCGCAACTCTACACTCAAGGCGATCGGCGCGCAGGCGCAGTAGCGGCTTCTTCGTTGCGGAGTGCTTAGCGGAGAGGGAAACACGGTCTACGAAAACTCCCTATTAGCGCGCCCA